GGCTAAATTCCCCGACTGGCCCCTTGTGGGGTGATAAGAGCCTTGGCGTCTGCAACACAAGCTCTCGATAATCTGTCAATCGAATGCGCCTGGCCTCCGGATCCAAGGTTGTGGGAAAGGCTAGTAGGTAGTTGTCCTACGGCGCATGATGCGGCAAAAGTCAAGCCGCTTTGTTGAGTCAGGATTGTTGCAGTGCATTTACCCCAACTGGCAGAGAATGGGGACTGGGGATAGATGGTGCATTTGTGTAGATAGATCTATCTACCATCCGTGGTAATTGATTTCGCACTTCCCGGACACCGACCGGTGGAAGTACTGGCAAATCATGGACGGGGGTTTGTGGTGATTCGCGACACGGGTAATGCATTGGATCTCAGCGAAGCCAGAGTGATCTTCAAACTCTCAACATCTAGTACTAGAAGAAAGCTTATATAGAAGATCTGGCTGCAGATCGATGATGGGGAGCTGTGAAACTGGTGGCCATAAGTGATATACTGCAGAACCTGCGCAGCTGGACGATAGATGCTAACCAAGAAGCACAGAAGTGAAGCATCGAGAGCACCAATCGCCCAAGTGAGAATAAGATTGCATCAGGTTGATCCCAGGATAGTTCACCATGATCTGTGAGAGCATACCTGGTCAAATACTGCCTAATGCTAATACCCCTAGCATGGGACAGTCAATCATCTTAAACAGCAGTTAACAGTATTGACACGCTGTACTAGCACATTTAAGCATCCGCTTTCACTCATTCAGTCAATGATCTGCCTTCTGTATCTTCGATGCTTACAACAAACCAAGTAAATACCTCCGAAAACTTTGCGATATATAAGCATTCTTCCTGTGTTTTTCTTTCTTTCTTTTTATTTTTCTTCTCGGGCAAGCTTCTTTTATACTGCGACAAGGTTCCATTCAACTAACGGTTTTGGCTAGCTGCTATTCGTTCATTTGGAGCCGGATTGGAAGACTTACAGCTGGTAAATACTTCTGTAGCTTGCAATTTAACTCTTATTCAAAGCTCGAAATGTGTTGACTAGGGAGCCTTAGTGTAGATGATTGGTGATGACGTGATGGGATTACGGCTCCAGACTACTTGTATGGTTGAAGCGGATGACAGGTAGTATACGCGCTACCACTGCTGTGATTATACAAGAGGTATCCTATGGTGCAGTCCTTAGTGGAGCCCTGATATTTATGTTATTCCTGTTATTCCCAATCTGTGGAAAAGTCTTGCTATGCAGTTCTGGTATGACTATGAGTGCGAAAAGTAGACATGACGAACGCCGGGTCAAAAATGGTCATGGTTTGGAAGATGCGGGCATGAAATCAGTGCTATCAAGAGTCAGTCTCGCACGCATCGAAACCAAAAGAGGAACACCACATACCGTAACATCCTCCCACTTCTCCCAACCGCGTCCCTTCACAGCGGCCAACTCCTCCATCGTGTACTGTTTGCCGGTGGTGAAGTAGCCGGCGTTAATCTTGGCATCGATCTCGACGCGGGAGTCATTGGGGATCATGTCCTCCGGGATAGGCACACGCTCCAAGATCTTAATTCCAGAGTCAACAATGGCGTCATGCTTCATGTTGGACATGGACAGCATCCGGTCGATCTTTTTGATACCCAGCCAGTGCAGGATGTCGGGCATGAGGGCTTGGAAGCGCATCTAATCATAAATTAGCAGTGACCGACCGCAAATTATAGGTAACACCTACGTCTCGAACACCAGCAATATTCTCCGTGCGAGTGAAGTACTTGTCCGCAGTATCACCACCGCGCTTGCGAGCATTATACACCAGGTACTTGATGACCTCACCCAGAGCACGACCTTCCTTCCGGAAGTAGATCACCACACCGCTGCCGCCGTTCTGCGCCTCCCGGATCGCCTCCGCGATACCAAACGCCAAGTACGGACGACACGTACAGATATCCGACTGGAAGACATCGCTGCCATTGCACTCGTCGTGAATCCGCAGCGCCAACCGGACATTCTCATCTGAGACTCTCTCCGGAGGCCCAAAGATGTAAACCGTCAACCCACCAATCGGAGGCAGGAAGACCTTCAAATCTGGGCGCGTGATGAGTTCGGGGTAGCTTCCGCCCGTGTGCTCGAAGAGCGTCCGCCGCAGCGTCCCCTCATCCACGCCGAACCGCTCCGCAACTCCCGGCAGGTACCAGACGGGCTCCACGGCGACCTTAGTGACGCGAACCTCACCGCCGGAGTCCACCACAATCGAGCCATCGACATCGAGCTTGCCCTCCCGCACGGCCTCGCCAATTTCCGCCAGCTTCATGTTCGCGCGCGTGACAGCCATGGTGGGCCGGATGTCCCAGCCGGCCTCTAACTCGTCCCGGTACTGGTTGACGACATCGTGGCCGTAGGGGTCCATGGACACGATCTTGGTCTTGTCGCCCCAGGCGGGCTGCGGGGGAAACTTGAAGGTGGGCTCGCTGTTGCGGAGGTCCGGGCGGAAATCCGGGTCCAGGTCGCCCGCCGCGATCGCGAGGGCGTTGTAAATGCTGTAGCTTCCCCCATGAGCGCCCATAGCGTTGCGGCGCTTGAGGAGGTTCGGGCTACGGGAGACGATCACCGGACCGCGGGATTTGGCATCGGGGGCGCCCCATTCGAGAGGGACGGGATCGATCCCGCTTTGGCCGGGGTAGGTAGTTAACTATGGGGAGTGTGGGTCAGTGGGTTTCTCTGTAAGAGTCAGTAGCTGGGAAGCTACACGTACGACAATGTGCTTGCTGTAGCGAGAAGTAGAAGTCGGCGACTGAACGACGGTTGTCGCCGCTTCAGTGGGCTTGGGAGATGTATCAAGCTGCGGGGTACTGGCAGTCATGGTGAAACGGGAGAAGGATTAGAGGATATGAAAAGGAGAGAGACAAGGGAGGGGGGGATTCAGTGACATAAATAGGGAAGAGGAGAGGCAGTGGAAGTGGATAAAGAGAAAGAGAAGATGACGATGGGGTATGGAGAAATGGGAGGGGGAGG